ATCACTTGTATTGAGTAATTTTAGCGTAACCTCCATTGAAATCAGCCTAGCTTTGAGTGGAATACGAAAGCATGGCTCATCCCGCGGGACGTTTAACGTCTCTGCTTTTTTCAGGTAGAAGTAGCTTTGCAAAAGATGCAAACTCTGGCCGAATATGTTAATGAAATGCAACGAGTTCATGAGCAATACGCTCCACATATCGATGCTCTGCGCCGCCAGAACGACGTATTGTTTAGGGAGAAGGTGAGAGATTCCAAACTGATGGCCCAGTGATCGTGAGAAATTTCGGTGTTTTCAGGGTCTACGGATCGACATCAGGGATTTGGTACTTTTTGCTCATGTACAATGGTTGAACGCTGAGAAATCGATTCAAGAATATGTGATCTTTGTATTTCACACGCTGATCCTGCTGCTTCCACGGAATGCTAGGCGAGACTGTAAGGTGAGTGCTGGAAGTCTTGGAGATTTTACAAATACAAGAAATTTCAAAGTTAGAATTCGATTGAATTGTCGTAAGCACGTTTTCGACAGCCTGTAACGATGATTTTGCTGATGTAGCCTTCGAACTAATCCAGTTCTGATAAGGTGCACCAAACTGGTATTACTTGAGCAGCTTGTGCGTCAGGTTTCACATACAATTGGATTGGCCAAATCTTGGTTTTCTAGGCTCGAGTAGCCCTCAGTTTCCATGTCAAGTGGTCCTAGCCTCTTATGAGGGAGACAGAAAAGCGTAAAACATTCGAGTGCCCTAAACCAACATTAATGAAGTCGTACTCTCGGTTTTTTGCTAGAGATGAATACTTTCCTACTCGTATGCCTTGTAATTATAGAAGAAAGTGGCAAAATAGTTCGGACCAATCATCAGAATGTCATCAAATGAAATTATTTTTGAAGGAAATATTTATGATGAAGAAATATTGAAACGATGAAAAGCCATTTCTCAAATATCTCAATTTCAAGATGAAATTGGCTCGCATGCTGCCGATCAATGAAGTCCAAGTGGAAGATAATAGGAAGGACGATCCGATACTGACCATTGTGCACACAAGAACGGTTGCCGAACGTCATTACGGTATCTTGAATTTTTCTCGATTTTACTTTCGCTGAGCTCATTCCCTTATCTACGATTTCCTTCAGGGCAAAAAATGGTAGAGTGCTGTCTTTGAAGTTAGAGGAGCTTACTTGTACTAGGCAGATTCTTCCATAGATAGGGCATGAGGAAGCGGTTGTTTCGACACTGCTGCACCCCTCTTCCCAGCATAGTACCAAGGAGCTGATTGAATGACTCATGAAAAGAAATGCCATGGAAGATGAGTCCCGGTGTGAACCGTTTGGTTTGTTTAGTCTGCGAATGATTACGTCTGACGACGACATGCCTGCCCTTGAATTATGGGATATTAAGATTAAAAAAAACTTTCAATGGAAAAGTCGATGAAAAAAATCATTCGGCACCAGAAACGCTTTTTTTCAGATGTTCCTTACCACATTGCATGTTGTCAATTGTCTCTGAAACAACAGCTCATACGAAGTATCAAGAAAGCTCGAACGAACTTCAGGTCCATTTTTGTGGCTTTATATTTACTTCGTGATTGACCATTTTGTCATGATGTTCATGCTGAAATATTTCTTTTTCAGTCGTGAAACACGACGTCCATTAAGCGGCTCGAGTCAATCCGATGGTGGTTACGGTAGCGATCCGATGAAGGATAGGAAGAGCTCTTGAAGCACGTAAAAGATGACTAGTATGTAGAGTACTAGACTATGACTTAAGGACCAATTGTCTGTCGCTATTGATCGATATATTGATCGCTAGGGAACAATGCCTAAGGAACTCCTGAAGTTCCATGTTTACTGCACTTGTTTATGTAATTGAGTGATCGAATTAAGTTTAGTCATTAGGGATACAATTATATTTACAATGGCCTAAGGACCGGCTGCTTTTTTTATTCACATTTTTAGTCCCTCTTTATTATAAGGAACCGTCAACATTTGTACGGGTGCTTCCATACATATTTACAATCGTTTCTCAGTAATAGTTTTTTGTATCGATTTTCTGCTGTGATTTTTTTATTTTTTATTTCCTATGCTGGAAACTAAATGGCTGCAAAGATTTGTTTTTGATGAGAAATTCGACGAGTTCTGTGAAAATGTTTCCAACGTACAGGTTACCTGAATAGCAGTTGTGCGAAACTCCGCCCACAGTGAGAACTCTCCTCCCCTTTAATAGAAACACCAGACCATTTGTACAGTTTTTCATGCTTTCCTTACTACAGTGTTTCCTAACGAGAACTGTACTTGCAAGGGCGGTGCTTGGAACGGTACTATCAGGTGTTTAAAGTACCGCCCCGCACAACAGATGCATTTCTTTTTCCTTGCGTGTAGGACTATTGAAAGCATCCGCATCCAGATTCCTTAATTGTAATTTAAGTCTGCAAACAGTTAGACTTAGTTGTTCTCAACGCTCCATCTGGACACTTCGGGTGCATCAAGCCTTCAGATCTTCGGGCTACCAATTCATTTGCAGAAAAAGGTACCTTCCACACCTTTTTACTGGTAAAATCGTTTCATTTTTTTCAGTACGGCTTCCAGGGGTATTGATCTGTTGATAGACCGTTTTACTCTCTGAAGTTGAATGGCAATACCATAAGTTCCTTCTTACTTCTTTATTGAGGCCTAACAAAAGTATGT